GTTGGGCTCCCCCGGGCGGGGAAAATTATAAAAATGAGGGAAATGTAAAAATAGCAAGCTTCTCCCAATATCTTGTTTTCTTTCTTTTTTTTAAAAATGAAACAGACGGTCCATTTTTCCTCTTTTGTATGAATTTTATTTTCCTTATATTTTCCCCAAAAAGAGGGGTTTGGCCGAGGGTTACAAGGGGCTTAAAGTGGGGGGGACATTATTTGCCCCCCCCGAAAGGGGAAATGGGTTTTTCGTGGGGGGAAAAAATTTAAAATACCCAACCTGCACACCCGGGGGGAACAGCACTGGAAAGGCGGCCCTAAACACCCCGTTACCCCGGGCCCTAAAAGGGTGGAAAAAACAGGGATTTGACATTTTAAATCTTTGTTTCTATAAACCAGATGAGTGGTTTGGCAGGGGTTAGAGGGGTTGGGCTTTTCATGCATGAGGAAACGGGTTCAATATAGTAAGGGACAATTACCGGGTCAAAGGGAAAAAAATTAAAAAAGGGCCAACCCGGGGATTCACGGCCCCAGTTTTAAAGCCCCCGGCTAAAACCTTTCCTTCCCCACCCCTATAATTTAAAAAAGAAAAAGTTCCCTTTTCACCCCTTCCCGGGCATCGGGCATATGGGCAGAGGGGCCCATATTTTTAAGACCATCAGCCCTCTGGGGGGTAATGTGGTCAGCTTTAAACCCCCGGCTGTCTTTTACTTTCCGGGGGCCCAGCCCATCCGGAAACCCAACCCCCCTAAAAATTTGGAAAGGGCTCACACAGAAAAAGACTTCCCCCCACAAAGGGGTTAAAGATAAAAAGGAAAGGGCCCCGCCCCCCCCCCCCCCAAAAAAAAAAAATCAACCCACACCCCACCCCAACAAAAAAGCAAAACTAAAAGAGTTGATTTTTAAAAAAAAAGGGGGGGGTAGGGTAAACAGTGAGCGGGGATGGGGCCCGCAGATGTTTGGGGATTTTGGCATGAGTTGATTGAGGGCCTTTTGCTCCTTTGGGGGAAAAAGGGGAAAAAGGGAAAAAAAGAGGAAGAAAAAAGGGTTCCAATTTGGGTAAATACTTTCAGTAGGGGGCAGTAATAATATCCCAAAAATATGCTGTTTTCCCCAGGAGTTTTGGGCTATGTAATTCTGCAGCCCTGAGACACAATTACAGGTTAATTTCCCAAATTTTTAAATGCTGCAAAAAACTAAAAATAAATACTGTTCTTCGTTTTCAGGGCTGTAAACTGGCAAAAAATTTTCTGTTTATTCTCCCCTCCTTGTTTCTTTCCCAACAACCTAAAGGGTTTGCAGGCAATCTTTTTTAAATTTCTGAATTTTTTTTAAATGGGGACTGTGGGTTTTTGCCTTTTCAGGCACTCCAACTTAAAAGGGAAACCCCCCAATTTATTTTCCCCCTCTTAAAACATGTTGTTTGGGGGGGCCCGGGGGGGTTTATTTTTGTTTTCCTAACAAGGGGGGCCCAAAAACCCAAAATGTGGAATTTTAAAATTTAATGATGTCATCACTGTAATCCTACTCTCATTTTCAGTACCCAGGTACTTTGCAAAATGTTTCCTCATCAGGGTCTCCCTAAAAGAAACCGGTCTCTAAAAGTTTTCCTTTTTCTCATGTATTTTTCATATTCGGGGGAGTCTTTTTCCTGTGCACATCTTTTTTTTTGGGGTTGGCCCCTGGCCCCCCCTTTCCCCTTTGTATCGGAAACCTTTTGCTATTTTTTTTTTTAAAAATTCACTTGGTGTTTGGGATTTTGCCCAAAAAATTTTTCATTTTTCCCGAGACAAGATGGTTTATTACCCCTTTTTCCCCTCTACTTACGTAAGTATATTAGGAATGTGACTGCAGGGGAAACAGGGCAACATAGAGAAAAAAATTTTTTCTGGAACAAAAAAATTTTAAATGGACCCCAATGATGAGAACAGGGGAACTAGAAAAAAATTCAAAACATTCAACAAAATGCTTTATTAAAATTTAAAATTTAAAATTTTAAATTACTGAAAAATTTTGGGGCATTTAAAACCCCATAAATTAAAGGCCTGCCCTTTTTACTGTTTAACGTAGGCACATTTGGGGAAACCAGGGGGATGTTCTCTCCAGGGATCGTCATCGGGGGGTTTTCCCAGTTCGCGGGACCGCCATCGCAAAAAAAACCCTTTTCCCTGTCTCCATTCCGGGTTGAAATTTAAAAATCAAAACCTTACAATTACCCCAAAACAAAATTTTAGGGAACCCACAAAAGAAATAGTTTAAAACTTCCACATATGTAACGATGGCAGCTGTACCAAAGAGATCAAGTTAAGACTTGACATGGCAACAGCTGCGATGTCCCAGCTGAATACAATGTGGAAGAGCAAAATCAGCATCCTAGTTAAGATCAACATTTACAAATCACTGGTAGAGTCTATTTTCTTATACGGACATGATAGCTGGACTCTCATTGTGGAAATGCAAAAGAGGCTTTCGAATGTAAATGCTATAGAGACATTTTATGAATTAGTTATTTAGAACACAAAACTAACAAATATGTCAGAGACAAAATATACAAATTTTCAGGACATTAGGAGCCTCTCTTGGCAGTGGTAAAATGCCACAAGCTAGCTTCGTTGGGGCACGAGGTGAGACATAATTCGATTGCAAAGACAGTGCTTCAAGGAACACTGGGTGGTAGTCAAAGAAGAGGAGGGCATAGAAGAACTGAAATGACAACATCAAGAAATGGACAGGACTAAGTTATCATACACCAAGCACCAAGTTTTTCACCAAGCAGAAAACAGAGAAAGATGCAGGTTTGGTGCGCTTGTGCTTTCATCGAAACACTTCCACGACCCTAACGGGTCAAGAGATATGTTATGTGTTATGTGCCATCTCCACAATGATCGTTGGCTGCGATGAAACTCGACACTCTCTGTCTCCTGTCTAAGTAGTACATGCTCTCAGGCTACTGTTCATACATCTCTTAATGTTGTCCTCCCACTTGTATCATTGTCTACCTCTTGCTCTTCTGCCTTTGACTTTTCCCTCCAATATGGTTTCCAAAAGAGTGTAATTGTCTTTTAATGTGGCTAAAATATTTCAACTGTCTCTTTTTTTTTAAATTTTTATATTTCGGCAACTCTTTTCAGTTGCAATAATTTCCAGAACCTCTATCGGATTGCTTCTGTTTCCATGAAATACGACCTGTTCTTCTGTATTTCCACATTTCAAGAGATCCAATTCAATTTTCTAGTTGCTTACAACTCACTGTCTAGGTTTCTGCATCATACAGAAGGGTTGAGTACACGTAACATCTGAAGATTCTCAATTTGAACGTGCTGCTTATCTCTCCAGCTGTCAATAATTTTCACACCTTACTGATGATATTTTCAGCCAATCTGATGCTCTTTTTTCATTTCTGCTTCACTACTGCCAATATGTGCTATTGCGTGTCCAAGACAGGAGAAACTTATTACTTGTTCTAATAAACCTCTGTTTCCTGTGAGGTTCCCTTTTTGCCACTCTGTTCCACTGTTAATTACCACAGCTTTTGTTGGCCAAACTATCCAAGTATTTCTCTCTTTGTCTCCCTTTTCTTTTTTCCCATCAAGTTTAACCCTTTCACCTTCAGAACGCCAAAACAAAAATGGGTCACGACAATGTAGGTATTAATAGATAGGAAAATCCTTTACAAAGCAACAGTTTTACACATTTCACTTATAAATGTTTTAAAAATGAATCGTCTATGAGTTTTAAAAAAAGAAAATATATATATATATATATAT